GATTGTAATCAGAATAATGAAAACACCAGGAAATTAATAGAAAGACTAAGTTTGCATTCACAATTGAATCCAAGAATCACAATTTCCAACTCTGAGGATTAGAATGCAGCCAGCAAGGGCACTTCTTCAGCCATGTCCAATGGGCCCTTCTAAAGTTCCCCTCCAGAGAGTCTTTTCAGAGCTCTCTCTACATCTTTATTCCTCTGACTGTAGATGAAGGGGTTCAGCATAGGAGTAACCACAGTGTACATCACTGAGGCTGCTGCACTTGAGTGTGAGCTACGGGCTGTGGCAGAACTAAGGTACACACCTCGGCCAGTGCCATAAAATAAGGAGACACCTGAGAGGTGAGATGCACAGGTGGAAAAGGCTTTATGCTTCCCTTGAGCTGATGAGACTGCACATATGGAGGGAACGATCTTGGAGTAAGAGTAAATGATACCAGCAAGGGAACCAGCACCCAGTAGCACAGGTGCAAAATGCATCACAAGGTCATTTAAAAAGTTTTCAGAACAGGCAAGTTGGGCTACCTGATTGAGTTCACAAAAGAAGTGTGGGATTTTCAAGTCAGTACAGAAGGACAGCCTCAGCACCATCAGGCTTTGTAACAAGGCGTGCAGGACACTCATGACCCAGGACACCAACACCAGCACCATACGGAGTGGGCGGTTCATGATGACTGTGTAATGCAGGGGGTGACAGATGGCTACAAACCTGTCATAGGCCATCACAGCCAGGAGGAACTTGTCCAACCCTCCAAAGAGCAAGAAGAAGTGCATCTGGGCGATGCAGCCTGCATAGCTGATGATCTTGCTCTGGGTCTGGATGTTCACCAGCATCTTGAACACGGTGGTGGAGGTGAAACAGATGTCCACAAAGGACAGGTTGGAGAGGAAGAAGTACATGGGAGTGTGCAGGTGTGAGTCAGAGATGATGGCCAGGATGATGAGCAGGTTCCCAAGCACAGCACTCAAGTACATGGACAGGAAAAGTGCATATATGAGGGGCTGCAGTTCTGGGTCATCTGAAAATCCCAGTATAAGAAATTCTGAAATTCTTGTGTTGTTTCCTAGTTCCATATGGTGGATGCAACTAGCAGGAAAAAAAAATAGCATGAGTACTATTCACACAAATGGATGTTACTTCTATAGTTGTAATGCTCCAATTTATATTTTCCAGTCTATAAATTAACTTCTACTTTTTGAAGATCTTTTCCCCTTAGATGATCCTAGTGCCATTCCTAATTAGGAATATCTGTCCCACTATAAGCCTTTTCCCCAGGAAGTCATGTCATGTACAGTTGTACTGGGAAACTATTTCTCACATTTTAGGGATAGTGAGTATTGACTATGCTCCAGCTCTGACTAGGCTGCTGTAAAACAGAAGTTTTTACATTCCAAAGATGAACTAAGAATATATGCAAACAAGGA